ATGGGTAAATCATTCGAGCCTTTAGCCACATACTCATTACCAGGGCTCGACAAATAATGTAATCTACTTGCCTGTGGTGAGTAGATTGCAACCCGGAAGAGCCGGCACAGAGCAATCTGCGCATGCGCAGAACCGCACGGCTGGCGAGTGGAGCTCGTCGCCACTTGGCGAGCCCTGCTTATTACATCTATCCATAAAGCTGGTCTTTCTTGTCGTAATTACCTCTGCCAGACAAATCAGGGAAATGGGAGCTCTAATGGCAGACGCACCCCAAGGGCACTATTTCAGGTGTGTAGGGGTAGGAGCAGCAGCTGTGTTCTCCGGGATGCGGCTAGCTTTTCATCCCATTCCCTGGACACTAAGGGGGTGAGGGCAAAGTGCTTGCATTCCGCGCATTCCTCTAACATCTGGCTGGTGAGCTCCCTTCACCAGCCAAGTGTGAGAGGAATGCACGGAATGAAAACACTTTTCCCTCACTCCCTTAGCATCCGGGGAAGGGGATGAAAAGCTAGCCGTTGCCCAGAGTGCACAGCTGCTCCTGCATGCCCGAAATGGCACCCTTGGCTCCCCCATCCCTATACACAATATTTCATAAACACAAGGTGATTCTGTGGACACATCCCTACTTCCTTAAAGCTCTTAACTCATTCCACTGCAGTGAACCCGTATTCTTACCCGTCTTCTTCCTGAAGGCACATAAGGACGACAAGGAAGTGGCTCTCCATACTTTGCATGTCTGCAGGGCACTCACCTTCTACCTACAGCAGAAGCCCTTTCGCTAAACTCCACAATTGTTCTTTTCATCTACAGAGAGATCACAGAGGTTACCCATATCAAAACAAAGACAAGTGAAATGGGTATCTGGCTGCATATAACTAGCGTATACCTTAGCACAGAGAAAGCTCACACCTGGCATATAAGCTGACTGTACAAGAGCCATGGTGGCCACAACAACATTCCTATGTGGTGTTCTGACAGAACACATTCACCTGGCCACCACATGGGTGTCAATGTATACCTTCATGCAGCACTATGCCGTCCAGACATTCTCAGAAGCAGAAATGAGATTTGGCCAAACAATACTTTTGGTCACAGACTCTCACCTTTAAAAGCTCCCACCTCCTACTATGACTACTGCTCTGTAATCACCTAAAGAGGAAGCACCCATGGGGACACTCCTCAAAGAAGATGGGAAAGTTACTCACCTGGTGCAGTAACTGGAGTTCTTCAAGATGGTTGTCCTCATGGATGCTTCACCACCCTCCCTTCTCCCTTCAGCTTTGGACTAAAAAATGTCCAGGTCAAAGAAGGAACTGAGGAGGTGGCCGGCTGCACATATGCAGTAACCTCTTCAGATCACATGTACTGGCACTCTGCATGTGCAGCTGGCCATGAGCACTGCTGTTACAAATCTCTGATCAGAGGTGCAGTGGCACTGGTGGACCTAAAAGTGGAGCACCCACAGGGACAACCATCTCAAAGAACTACAGTTACTGCACCAGATGAGTAACTTTCCCATCCTTCCCTCTCCCCATGTGATCTGAGTTGCAAACTTAGAAGGTGGAAGGTATTCACTTGCACCTCTCCTTTTCCTGGGGAAAGGAGTGAGAGGGGAACAATCAACAATGGTTTTTGTCCTTTGTTCCTTAATAGTTCCTTTATGTTGATGGTATTCTTTGTGAGGGGGTAGATAACATTATGATTGGAGACTAGTATTTCACATTAGTTAATGTTTCTCTCCTGTCTGATGATTTACACAATTATAGAGGCTTGTAATGCAAATGCTCAAATACAGTAGACTTCTGATAATCCGGCACCTTTGGGACCTAGGTGGTGCCAGATTATTGGATATGCCAGAGTATCAGGAGGTACTCTGGCGGGGGACTGTGACGGGCCTGCCAGGATCCGCACTGCGTCTGGGAGCGGGCCGGGAATGGTGCGGCGAGAGACAAACCCTCCGCCATTTTGCAGAAGCAGGGGAAGCCGTGCGCAGCTACCGAGAGTTTCCGGGAGGGGAGCAGGCTCCCCACCCCCCAGACTGCAGTACTATAGTTATCACCAAGCAGGGGGGTGAGGGGCGGCGCTGCGGGACCAGCCAGCAGCACCCCAGCTGCTCTACTCTGCAGTTTCCCCAAGTCTGCTGCTCATCAGTTTCAGAGCAGCAGCGGCGGACTTGGGGAAGTGGCACGGAGCAGAGCAGCTGGGGTGCTGCTGGGTGGGTCCGCCGGGCCCCCCCCCCCC